GGTTAAGATCCCGGTTAAGATCCCGGTTTAGATCCCGGATTATATCCTGGTTTAGATCCCGGTTAAGATCCCGGTTTAGATCCCGGTTAAGATCCTGGTTTAGATCCCAGTTAAGATCCAGGTTAAGATCCTGGTTTAGATCCCAGTTAAGATCCCAGTTTAGATCCCGGTTAAGATCCCGGTTTAGATCCCGGATTATATCCTGGTTTAGATCCCGGTTAAGATCCCGGTTTAGATCCCGGTTAAGATCCTGGTTTAGATCCCGGTTTAGATCCGGGTTAAGATCCTGGTTTAGATCCCAGTTAAGATCCCAGTTTAGATCCCGGTTTATATCCTGGTTTAGATCCCGGTTTAGATCCCGGTTTAGATCCCGGTTTAGATCCCGGTTTAGATCCCGGTTAAGATCCCGGTTTAGATCCCGGTTTATATCCTGGTTTAGATCCCGGTTAAGATCCCGGTTTAGATCTCGGTTAAGATCCCAGTTTAGATCCCGGTTTAGATCCCGGTTTAGATCCCGGTTAAGATCCCGGTTTAGATCCCGGTTAAGATCCTGGTTTAGATCCCGGTTTAGATCCGGGTTAAGATCCTGGTTTAGATCCCAGTTAAGATCCCAGTTTAGATCCCGGTTTATATCCTGGTTTAGATCCCGGTTTAGATCCTGGTTTAGATCCCGGTTAAGATCCCGGTTAAGATCCCGGTTTAGATCTCGGTTAAGATCCCGGTTTAGATCCCGGTTTAGATCCCGGTTTAGATCCCGGTTAAGATCCCGGTTTAGATCCCGGTTTATATCCTGGTTTAGATCCCGGTTAAGATCCCGGTTTAGATCTCGGTTAAGATCCCAGTTTAGATCCCGGTTTAGATCCTGGTTTAGATCCCGGTTAAGATCCTGGTTTAGATCCCGGTTTAGATCCCAGTTAAGATCCCGGTTTAGATCCCGGTTAAGATCCTGGTTTAGATCCCGGTTTAGATCCCGGTTAAGATCCCGGTTTAGATCCCGGTTTAGATCCCGGTTAAGATCCTGGTTTAGATCCCGGTTAAGATCCTGGTTTAGATCCCGGTTTAGATCCCGGTTAAGATCCCGGTTTAGATCCCGGTTTATATCCTGGTTTAGATCCCGGTTTAGATCTTGGTTAAGATCCCGGTTTAGATCCCGGTTTAGATCCCGGTTAAGATCCCGGTTTATATCCTGGTTTAGATCCCGGTTAAGATCCCGGTTTAGATCTCCGTTAAGATCCCGGTTTAGATCCCGGTTTATATCCTGGTTTAGATCCCGGTTTAGATCTTGGTTAAGATCCCGGTTTAGATCCCGGTTTAGATCCCGGTTAAGATCCCGGTTTATATCCTGGTTTAGATCCCGGTTAAGATCCCGGTTTAGATCTCCGTTAAGATCCCGGTTTAGATCCCGGTTTAGATCCGGGTTTAGATCCCGGTTAAGATCCCGGTTAAGATCCCGGTTTAGATCCCGGATTATATCCTGGTTTAGATCCCGGTTAAGATCCCGGTTTAGATCTCGGTTAAGATCCCGGTTTAGATCCCGGTTTAGATCCCGGTTTAGATCCGGGTTAAGATCCCGGTTTAGATCCCGGTTAAGATCCTGGTTTAGATCCCGGTTAAGATCCCGGTTTAGATCCCGGTTTAGATCCCGGTTAAGATCCCGGTTTAGATCCCGGTTTAGATCCCGGTTAAGATCCCGGTTTAGATCCCGGTTTAGATCCCGGTTAAGATCCCGGTTTAGATCCCGGTTTAGATCCGGGTTAAGATCCTGGTTTAGATCCCAGTTAAGATCCCGGTTTAGATCCCAGTTTATATCCTGGTTTAGATCCCGGTTTAGATCCCGGTTAAGATCCCGGTTTAGATCCCGGTTTATATCCTGGTTTAGATCCCGGTTAAGATCCCGGTTAAGATCCCGGTTTAGATCTCGGTTAAGATCCCGGTTTAGATCCCGGTTTAGATCCCGGTTTAGATCCCGGTTAAGATCCCGGTTTAGATCCCGGTTTATATCCTGGTTTAGATCCCGGTTAAGATCCCGGTTTAGATCTCGGTTAAGATCCCGGTTTAGATCCCGGTTTAGATTCCGGTTAAGATCCCGGTTTAGATCTCGGTTAAGATCCCGGTTTAGATCCCGGTTAAGATCCTGGTTTAGATCCCGGTTAAGATCCTGGTTTAGATCCCGGTTTAGATCCCGGTTAAGATCCCGGTTTAGATCCCGGTTTAGATCCCGGTTTAGATCCCAGTTTAGATCCCAGTTAAGATCCCGGTTTAGATCCCAGTTTAGATCCAGGTTTAGATCACGGTTTAGATCTCGGTTAAGATCCCGGTTTAGATCCCGGTTAAGATACCGGTTTAGATCCCGGTTTATATCCTGGTTTAGATCCCGGTTTAGAACCCGGTTTAGATCCCGGTTAAGATCCCGGTTTAGATCCCGGTTTAGATCCCGGTTTAGATCCCGGTTAAGATCCCGGTTTAGATCCCGGTTTAGATCCGGGTTAAGATCCTGGTTTAGATCCCAGTTAAGATCCCGGTTTAGATCCCGGTTTATATCCTGGTTTAGATCCCGGTTTAGATCCCGGTTAAGATCCCGGTTTATATCCCGGTTTATATCCCGGTTTAGATCCCGGTTAAGATCCCGGTTAAGATCCCGGTTTAGATTCCGGTTAAGATCCCGGTTTAGATCTCGGTTAAGATCCCGGTTTAGATCCCGGTTAAGATCCTGGTTTAGATCCCGGTTAAGATCCTGGTTTAGATCCCGGTTTAGATCCCGGTTAAGATCCCGGTTTAGATCCCGGTTTAGATCCTGGTTTAGATCCCAGTTAAGATCCCGGTTTAGATCCCAGTTTAGATCCCGGTTTAGATCCCGGTTTATATCCTGGTTTAGATCCCGGTTTAGATCCCGGTTAAGATCCCGGTTTAGATCCCGGTTTATATCCTGGTTTAGATCCCGGTTAAGATCCCGGTTAAGATCCCGGTTTAGATCCCGGTTAAGATCCCGGTTTATATCCCGGTTTAGATCCCGGTTTAGATTCCGGTTAAGATCCCGGTTTAGATCCCGGTTTAGATCCCGGTTTAGATCCCGGTTTAGATTCCGGTTTAGATCCCGGTTTAGATCCCGGTTTAGATTCCGGTTTAGATCCAGGTTAAGATCCCGGTTTAGATCCCGGTTTAGATTCCGGTTAAGATCCCGGTTAAGATCCCGGTTAAGATCCCGGTTTAGATCCCGGTTTAGATCACGGTTTAGATCTCGGTTAAGATCCCGGTTTAGATCCCGGTTAAGATCCTGGTTTAGATCCCGGTTTAGATTCCGGTTAAGATCCCGGTTTAGATCCCGGTTAAGATCCTGGTTTAGATCCCAGTTAAGATCCCGGTTTAGATCCCGGTTTATATCCTGGTTTAGATCCCGGTTTAGATCCCGGTTAAGATCCCGGTTTAGATCCCGGTTTATATCCTGGTTTAGATCCCGGTTAAGATCCCGGTTAAGATCCCGGTTAAGATCCCGGTTTAGATCCCGGTTTAGATCCTGGTTTAGATCCCGGTTAAGATCCCGGTTTAGATCTCGGTTAAGATCCCGGTTTAGATCCCGGTTTAGATTCCGGTTAAGATCCCGGTTTAGATCTCGGTTAAGATCCCGGTTTAGATCCCGGTTAAGATCCCGGTTTATATCCTGGTTTAGATCCCGGTTAAGATCCCGGTTAAGATCCCGGTTTAGATCCCGGTTAAGATCCCGGTTTATATCCCGGTTTAGATCCCGGTTTAGATTCCGGTTAAGATCCAGGTTAAGATCCCGGTTTAGATCCCGGTTTAGATTCCGTTTAAGATCCCGGTTAAAATCCCGGTTAAGATCCCTGTTTAGATCACGGTTTAGATTCTGGTTTAGATCCCGGTTTAGATCCCGGTGTAGATCCCGGTTGAGATCCCGGTTTAAATCCCGGTTTAGATCCTGGTTTATATCCTGGTTTAGATCCCGGTAAAGATCTGTTGTAGTGGAATTGATTTTTGTAATTATCTTTAAACAAAATGTTGAGGTCACTCTGGGCCGGCTCCGGTGAACGGTCCGTACCGGGTCAGGCGCTGATTCGGTTCCCTGGGTGATTGGGTCGCCGCCTCCCATCATGACGGCTGCAGCTGCAGGAACATTTATTGATCGTCCTCCACTGCAGGTCAAATATTGATATTGGCCGCAGCAGCCCAGTCATGGCATCATTACATAAACTGCATTAGTTTTAATGCAGTTTATTAAAACTTAATGCAGTTATATTAATAAACTATTAATATTGTATGAATCCACATGAACAGATCCGGTTCATATCCGATCATAAACCATCTAATCTGGTCCAGATTTAATCCGGATTAAATCTCTTTACGGAGCATTTCAGCAACAGTGAGGGATTCTCCAACTTTAATGTTCATAGAAAAATAATGACCCAAATAACACAAACACAACCAGACGATAATCTTGAAACCTGTAAAAAGTTCTGATCAGAAATGTTTCATTTTTTAGTGAAAATACAGATTAAAGTGACCGATCCAACCAACAGAGAGGACGAGTCCAACATTCAGCACATCGTCAGTATTTTCAGAGTGTCAGTTTAACAATTGGTGAATATGATTTATTCAGCCATCAAGTCTTCAGGTTATTCTGTATCATTCTGTCGCCAAAGCCGACGAACCTCATGAGATAATAACTGATAATCAATGTTATTGATGATCTTTCTTTGAGGTGAACCTGAATCAGAAACGTTTAGGAGTCGTTGATGATGTCCAGCTGCTGCTTCTGATTTTGATTCCAAGTTTGTTTTAAAAGCTTCATCTTCTCTTCCAGTTTATTTTAGCACATCCAGGAATTATCTCATTTTTCTGTCTCATTTTTCTGTCTCATTTTTCTGTCTCGGTTTTCGGTGCTGCGCTGCAGAAGCTCACGGCTCCTCCAGCAGAACAAAGACAACATGACGATAACTCTGCATAAAGCCAGAAGCAGCTGAGCAAGCCGCCTTCCTGACACACGACCTCAGGACTGGTCGCCACAATCCGTCCCTTCGTCTTCAGCTGGACGTTCAAAACCTTCGGTTGGGGAAACGCTGCTGGTTTAACGACGGCAGTTTATAATCTCTCTGGCTGTAAAGCTGGAGTCATTCTCATTTAACTTCCTCACCTCTAAAACCGGCGTACCCGTCTCCATGGCGGCACACAACTGCAGGCAACGTTTAAAATGTCCGTATCTCAGTACCTCTGATTTTATCAGCAGACGTACTAAAATCAATTAAGATGATAAAGAGTCAATAATAAGTTGATAATTAAAAGTCATTTCTGTCCAATTCATAACATTTAAATTACTGAGAAATATAATTTACATCAGTCAAAGACTTTTAACAAACAGCAGAAACTGAAGCATTTAAACTGAATGTTTTCTTTCTTCCAGGCTAATTATTCCTCTGGTTGAACTGAATTTGTTGCAGCTGAAATGATCAGCAGATCATCCAGCAACACGAACCAGTAAGAAATCAAAGCAACTGGTGGAAAACCCCCTGACAGCAAAACCAGTAAGTTCAGAAACGTAAACCAGTCTGAGTTTTTCTCTCAGGAGGCCGAACCGGCTGGAAACGAAGCTCAGAACAGCAAATAATTCAAATTCTGGTTCAAAAATACACACAGATTATTGGCTCTAACTGACTTCCATACGCACAGAGCCGAGAGCAGAACAGGAGGAAAGTTTCATCATCATGCAGGTTAAATGATGAACTTCACTCAGGCTCTCATCAGTGGCTGCGTTTCCATTGACTGCAAAACTGGAATAATGAAACTAAATCGTCTGAATGGAAACAAAAACTGAAAAGACTAAAGTATTTTGCTGCACTTCACTGACAGGGGGCAGCGCTGAGCCCCACAGACAGATGGGTGGCAAAGAAGGAGAGTCATGGCGCCAATCAGAAAATCAGATGTGACCTCACAATAAATATTTTTATTTTTCTTGCTGTCATTTTGTAGATCATTAATTAAAACATAATTAAAAGCTTTGAAATCAACTAAACTGGCTCAGTTTCTGTAAAAACACAGAATAAAAAGTTTCTATGTCCAAAACTGCAGGAGGAGCTCAAACCTGGAAAATGATTTATGGCTGAAAAACTCCTGGAAACATTTTTCATGTTTAACCTGAAGCTGTTTGAGGTCCAGCGTTGGATGGTGGAGCTTCACATTAAAGCTTCTCTGAGTTCAGGATATGATGTTTGGTTTGTGCTGCAGACTTCCTGGCCAGACAATGAACCTCTGGTTTATTCTCTCTGATGAGGAGGAAACATCTTTAGCTCTCCCAATCCCCCATGATGCATCAGGGCTGTGATGTTCCGGCTGCAGCAGCAATATGTGAGATATGGATTAACATCTCAGGAGAGACATTCATCTCTCTGTCTGAAGGCCCACAGACACATGCAGGACTTCCTGCTGCGATATTAGCACTTTTATTAGAATCAGGTTCAGGCGGCGGAAACCCTCCCCAGTGATCCGTCTGGATCATCCTTCCTTTGCTCCTCCTCGGTGATGGATGAGGCACCCCAACCGGGCCTCAGCCGGGCCTCAGCCGGCAGTGTTAGCCTGGCAGTCCCAGCCTGGCAGTCCCAGCCTGGCAGTCCCAGCCCATCGATTGGTCTCTGAACCCGGAGGAGAAACCGAGCCGGACCGCGTTCCTTCATCATCCTGCTCCTCTCCTCGCTCTCTTCCCCCTGCTGAACAGTCATTAAAACATCGAAACGTTTTGATCCAAGTCTGATCTCTGACTGGTGCAGTTAGTGGAAGCAGTTTCACGTCTAATGACCTCATGTTTCTCCCGACACGAGCAGGTCACAGGATGTTTTCTGATTTAACGTGTGTGTGCATGTGTGTGTGTGTGTGTGCTGCAGGTTCTTCCTGTGTTTTCTCCTAAACAGACATGTTTCAAAGTCCGGTCTCGTCCTCTCATGTCCAACGCTGCTGCAGGACAACAAGCTCCAGACGAGAACTTTGAGGTCCAACGAGCTGCTTTGCTGTAAAGCAGGTCAAACTCTCCTCCACCTCCTCCAGATTAAACTAGATTGTTTAATAACTGGGCTAACACGTTAGCTTCGGTTGCATTTACCCAGAATGCCCTGTGCTGTAGTCCTCTTCTGTGTCTGGCCTTCATCAGGAAGCATCTGTAGCAACCTGAGCAGTCGTCATGAAGGACATGACACCCAACCACTGGTCCTTCATTCAGCGGCGGCATCTCCTCCGTGATGCTGCGGCGGCGGCATCTCCTCCGTGATGCTGCCATGGCCACATGGGAGGCTTAATTAAAACCATTTCGATGGTGAGAAAATGTCATTTTGTTCAGCTCTGACGGAGCTGCAGGGTTAGAGGAAGTTCCTGACCGCAGAGCTGCTGGTTTGGTTTGGGACTCGCCGACCAAATCAGCTTTGGGTAGAAAATGATCCCAATTAGCTTGGCGTGAGTGCTGCAGCAGCTGCTGCAGCAGCAGCATGCAGCAGCATGCGAGAGCTTCCGAGGCTGCGGTCCTCACCGCAACGCTCGGTTTCCATGACTCCACAGTGAACACGGATTAACACAAAGTCTCTTCTCTGCATGAGCATCTCTAACTTTTTCCTCCCGCTCGCAGCTCGGCTCCACTGCAGCACAAACAAACAGCCATTAAAAATAATGAGAAGGCCATTTTCACCGCCTGTTACTTGAAAACAATCCATATCACACAGGGGACCTCCTGCTGGAGACAGAGATTTACTGAACCGCCATTCGCTCCTTGAACGTCCCAACACGTCTGCAAAACGTCGCAGTTCGTCCTGCTGCTGCAGCGTTCGCTCAGAGAAGGAAAGACGCACATCTGACCTTTCTAAGAAATGAAGCCAAACATAAAAATAAAATCTGTGACGGAAACAGATCACAGAACAAAACAAACAGAAGCCAGAGGCTGACCCTGAACTAATGCAGATAAAGAAGCTTTTATGTTTGACCATTCACACTGCAGCACTACTTTTCATCCACTGATGTATTAAAAGTTGCATCAGTTATTTGGATATAACTGTTCTCCAGAGTGCAAACAGTGTAAGTTCAGAAATCCTCCAATTTATTAGAGCGTTCAGGTTCTTGAAGTAACTATTTAAAAGTGGTTAAAACCATCAGATGTTCATCCAGCCTCGTCTGATAACATGAAAACGGTTTCCATCAGAGACTAAATGATCAACTACATTTAGTCTGTGTTGCCTCAGAGACACGAAAGGAAAAACTGAGAGAAGATCAGGAGGCGCTGGAAGAAGAAGGCTGAGCAAAGAGTCGACCGGCCTCTCAAAGACAGGAACAGGCGGCTAAATGAGCTCCACAGCGGCCGAGACCACGGAGACATGATGAGAAGAGACGGAGCAGACATCAGGAAGGATCGGCCGTAATGTCAAAATGGCCGCTCTGCTCGCCCTGCGCCTCTTTAGCAAGAAGATTTAACGCAATAATCTGATCCTGCAAACGTCCAGAACGACCAGAAGAAACGCTTCAGTTTAATGGAGCATTAAAATGAGAGGAGGAGGCCAGAAGCAGCACAACCGCACACACACACACACACACACACACACACAGACACACACACACACACACACGCACACACACACACACACACAGAGACACACACACACACACACACACACACACACACACACAGACACACACACACACACACACACACACACAGAGACACACACACACACACACACACACACAGAGACACACACACACACACACACGCACACACACACACACACACACACAGAGACACACACACACACACACACACACACACACAGACACACACACACACACACACACACAGAGACACACACACAGAGACACACACACACACACACACACAGAGACACACACACACACACACACACACACACACACACAGACACACACACACACACACACACACAGAGACACACACACAGAGACACACACACACACACACAGAGACACACACACACACACACACACACACACACACACAGAGACACACACACACACACACACACATAGGTGTGTGCTTCTGGCCTCCTCATAGGTGTGTGTGTGTGTGTGTGTGTGTGTGTGTGTGTGTGTGTGTGTGTGTGTGTGTGTGTGTGTGTGTGTGTGTGTGTGTGTGTGTGGACTGATGGCTCTGATATCAGAGCTTTATGCTGTAAAATTGATTCTGAACTGCAAGTATCAATATTCAGTCCAATGATGATAATGGATCATTTCCATGATCTAATTTTAACTTTAGTTTGTTATTTTCTGAAAATGTCTAAAGTAACAAAATTATTAGATATTTCCAAAATGCAGATGCAACGATTTAGCGATGCAATGATGCAATGTTGCTTCCATGTATCGGAACCAGTTTGGAACCGGTTTGGAACCGGTTTGGAACCGGTTTGGAACCGGTTTGGAACCGGTTTGGAACCGGTTTGGAACCGGTTTGGAACCGGTTTGGAACCGGTTTGGAACCAGTCTGCCAGAGTAATTTTATTTCAAATAAACACTTAAAGCTAAAAGTGATTGTTGTTCTTTTGCTGTCGAGATTTAAAGCATCGAGGCCTGAAAGCTGCAGATGTTGCAGAAACAGCTGCAGCGTTGGGATCCGTCCTCAAAGCACCGCTACAGATTAAAACATTTTATAAACTGCTGAGGTCACCAAGTAACATTTCTAGTCTGATGAAGCAGCTCATGAGCCCAGTAACACCAGTATTACCAGTTGGAACTTTCCCAGTGTGGTGGTTTGTGTGAATGATTAGAGATGATTTAGGAAGCTCCAGTTTAGCGTTGAAAGCTCTTCAATTAGAGCGTCAGACTGGAGTATTTCCAGCAGAGAGCCGCTCGGTAATCAAGCTCTCAGCTGAAGCCATTATCAATCCAGATCTTCATCCCTCACCAGAGCCAATTATTGCTGCTATGGACGGGCCTCAGACGTCTTCGTCCTGAAACGGCTCCATTTGACCCATCCCTGGATTAATCATGTTGTTATTTGTTGGCCAATTTGCATGTAATTATTTAATAGCCAGTGTTTGTTTAAAGAGCCATTTTGAAAGCTGCGGCTGCAAAGACGTAGCAGAAACACAAAATGATTTCAGTCTGACGGTTAATGACTCATCACACATTTCCTCTAATAACAGCTTCCACTCACTTTATGGAAACAGATTATTTCTCATATTAACATCCAAACTGTTTGTCTGCAGACTCAAACATTCTCTGAACTTTTTCTTCATAATCTTGATGTGGGATTTAACTTGTCTTGTTATTGACTCTGATGTATTTACATGTTTAGGTGATGTTGACTCATCTTCATGTCTGTTTCCAGTCCAGTTGATTTAACCTGATTTCCATCCTGAGAACCTGCAGCAGATTAAAGCCACACATTAAAACAGCAGCAGCATTTAAAGTCTCCTAATTTAGGCCTTTATTTATTCCTCATGACTAAATATTACTAAATATTCCAGCTTCTAGCAGCCATAATGCAGATGACTGTGTTTCTCTCACAGTTGTGTTCAGAGATGTTCTTGCTTTCTAAAACTCAGGATGTCAGACAGTCTGAGCTGAAACTAAAGTCTCCGATTTAAATATTTAATCATATTTCTGTTGTTGCTGTCAGCGTCTAACAACTCTTTATTCTTTGATGGAACAATTTTCTGGTCCAAATGCGACAGAACCCACAGCATGACGGTGAAATAATGAGCAAGTCCTCCAGGAAACTGGGAGATAAATCACTTCATAGCCAGATGATTTTAAACATTGGTCCTTTAAATGAGGGGAAAGTTAGGACACCTTGTGTTCGATAGGAAGATGTTTGGACTCCACATCCACACAGCATGACACTTCCACCTCCGTGCTTCGCTGCTATCCAGAGAAAACTGGCCAAGTTCATCCTGCAGCTTTGGGACCAAACAGATGGTTTGGTACCTGAATCGTCCTGGAACGAACTGAACGCTGCAGGATAACAGCTTTTACTTTTTATTCACA